TATTCCTCCTCAGATGTAATGAACACTGATTGGTGGTGATTAAAAAAGGCTCTATAATTGGGTTTTTTTTTATATAGGATATTTACATAATATTTTACAGAATAACGCTAAATTAGTTCTTTTTTATTTTTTGGAAGAATATCTGAGATATTAAATATATATTTTAAATTTACTTTTGAACCTTACAAAGCTTTTTTCATTAAAATAAAAAAGAAATGTGGGGGCTCCTGGGTGGTTTTAGTTAGTTAGCGTCTGAGGTCATGATCTCACAGTTTGTGAGTCTGGTCCCTCATAAGACTCCTGTACTGACAATGCAGGAGCCTGCTTGGGATTCTCCCTCTCTCTCTCTGTCCCTACCCTGCTGGGTATTGCTGCATACTCTCTCTCTCAAAATAAATAAGCTTTAAAAAAAAAAAGAAAAATTTTTTTATGGATGTCATATGTTCATTTTGCTATATCTGCTTTTTCCTCAGGCCAAGGGCAAAATACTTTTATCTTTAAAATTGGTACAATAATGAAAAGAATGAAACAGATTATTCAAAGAAACTGAATTAACTAATATCAAAACACTTTAAGTTTGAACTAATATTTGGGAATTTGTTAGAGAATAGTTAAGTTTATTGGAGTACCTGGCTGGGTCAGTTGGTGAGAGTGTGTGACTCTTGATTAGGGTTGTGAGTTTGGGCCCCACGACTGGGGGGGTAGAGTTTATTCAAAATATAAGTTAATAAATGAAATAAATTTTTTTTTTGCTTAATAGCATTGATTTCAGAATATAATGTAGGTATAAAGTAAAATTGGAAAAGGAGCATTTAAATTTTAGTAAAAAACATTTGCAATTCTAGTTGAATAGTTTCTGCATGTGTATATTCTCTTGAAAATATCTGTTTTAAAGAAGTTTTTTTGCACTGATTTATATTTACTAATTTATATTTTAAATATATTTAATATAAAACCACCATTTGCATGATACTCTGGATTGTTTTTTTTTTTCAAGAAGAGGGAGTGTGTGTGTGTGTGTGTGTGTGTGTGTGTGTGTGTGTGGAGAGAGAGATAGAATGAGGGAATCTTAAGCAGGCTCCACGAGCATGAGGCCTAATGCAGGGTTTGATCTTGAGCCATGAGATCATGACCTGAGCAAAATCAAGAGTCAGACACTTAATGAGACACCTTTACTGATGTGGGCCAAACTTTGGAAAAGGTATACTTAAAAATAAGCCCCAAGTTAGGCCACTATTCAAGGTTATACTATAATTTACATAGTTTATTTTATTTGTGCAATTTTTTTTAAATGTTTTATTTTGAGAGAGAGAGAGAGAGAGACTGGGGAAGGCAGCGAGGAGTGGGGATAGGCAGAGAGGAGGGAGACCTGAGATCTGAAGCAGGCTCAGGCTCAAGCTGTCAGTAGGGAGCCCAGCAGGACTCAAACCATAAACCGTGAGATCATGACCTGAGCTGAAGTCAGATGCTCTACCGACTGGAGCCACCCAGAGCCCTTATTTTCATTGAAATATTGATTTTAAGATAATTTTATCATGTTACCAGATTTCATGTTTCTGAAACTTAATCATATTTTATATTCCTTAGTATTTCTCTTTGTAAAATGCTTTCTATTTATATAAATTGGAATTCCAGATCTCAAATAATGTAATAATTCTATTCAGTTTAAGAGGACTTTAAATATCAATTTCTGTGAACTTAAAAGGACCCCTACCTAAGGGCTTATTTTATTTTATTTCCTTAGTTCTTCTGTGTGGGCAAAGGGGTAGCACAAAATTAATGTCGAGAGCAGGTACTTATCTCAGACTGTGGTACAAAGCATGCTTGAATAGGGTCATAGTATTCAGGCGTAGCAGGGTGACCAGTGATGGTGACATAACTGCTGTATAAAATAAGTGATCGTCAGACCACTGGCATGAACCCAAGATTATGAAGGCCTCCCCAGGATGGACAGAATGTAATTGGTTTGTCACTATTAACAGGAAAGGCAATAAAAGTTAGGTTTCTAGGTCTTGAAAGTATTCCGTGGAAATTTGACATACTCACTTAGTAAACTGTAGTTGAAACGAGTAAAAAATATCTGTGCATGACATCCCCAGTCCTTGCTTATCTTGTAACTGAGTTTGTACCTTCTGACCACGTTCGTCAGTTCCTAAAATGTCCCTTGAATAAAGCTGCTTTTTAATTGAACTGAGAATGCTTATCTCTTATCTGTTTATAAATAGAAGTTTGGCCTGACGGGTGGAATTTTTTACTAAAAGAAAAATATGCCTTTCTTTATAGTCTCTTCTTGTGATGTAGTGAGGACGAGAGCTCATGTGATTTTAGCGATTGAGTAGAAATTTGGGAAGGAGGAGGTGAGGTCTATTCATGCTGCTGATTTTTAAGATATGACCTGCATGAAATCTAGATGTGACTGTGCACTATATCATGTTAGCCAAATTAAATTGTCATTAATTACTGAAAAAGATTTTTTTCCTATTCATTGCAGATATGTAATTCACCTCTGGGACCTCATATGAAGGTTATGGGAAGGAAAAGGAACCTATGTCTAAATACACAGATTTTGTCATGGAACTCACTCCTCTTGTCCTGGACCTCATGCACTCATATTCACATGTTGGTAAACTTCCTCAGAAGGAACTCTAACAGAAACCAAAGGTTTTTAGAAACAGAAGCCTAGTTGGTTTCATAGCAAATGCCTGGATAAAGGATGTAAAGACCATAAAAATAAATGCAGCTTTCATGCCTCTGTGTTTCTGCCACTGGCGGGTGAGAGAAGCAGTAAAGTGCCTCTTGGCTGGAGCCACGGCCAGAGGAGAGGGGGTTTGCTGTCCTCTGGGACATTCCGGTTAATTCACTGACTAAGTCACTGAGGAATTTAATAATATGAGAGTAGAAAGTGTACTACCCAGTTCTATGACCATCTTAGGATTTTACTTTGTAGGGGATCATGGGAGCTCTTGCAGTGTTACTTCATGGATTCATAAATTTTCTGTCTTTACAATTAAAAAGAAAGCACCTGTACTTAATTCCTCCCTGCCCGTTGTTTGCTTTACCATAGTGTGCAGGGGAATTTGGAAACTCTGTTTCAATGGTTAACTTACTTCAGTGATGGTGAAATCAGCGTATTTGGTGGAGCCAGTTAATTATTATAAGCCTGTAAAGTTGCATTTAAAAAATTACTGGGTTAGACACAGGACATTTCTCTTTCTTTTTCTTTTCTTTTCTTTTCTTTTCTTTTCTTTTCTTTTCTTTTCTTTTAGTGCTTATACCATTTTATTTTATTTTTTAAAATGCTTATTTTGAAAAGAGGAAGGCATGTGCTGCATGAGTGAGAGCTGAGAGAATCCCAAAGCAGGCTCACACCATCGCTGGGGAGTCTGACATGGGGCTGGATCTCAGGAACCTCAAGATTGTGATCAGGCACAGAAATCAAAGTGGGATGGCAACAGACACCCAGGCACTAACACAGGACATTTTTTTTTTTTTAATTTTTTTTTTAATGTTTATTTATTTTTGAGAGAAGTAATACAGAATTAGGGAGGGGCAGAGAGAGGGAGGAGAGACAGAATCTTGGGCTCAGGCTCTGAGCCATCACTGAAGCCCAGACTTAAACCCATGAACCCTTGAGATCATGGCCCTAAGCCAGTCAGCCCCTCAACCTTCTGAGCCACCTAGGTGCCCTGACACAGAGCAGTTCTAAGTCTGATTTTTGAAAGTAACTTTGAAAACATATTAAAAAAAAACACATTGTTTAAATCCTATTTGAAACAAATACCAAAGGAATAACTGTTAGTTTTGTTTTTTTTATAAATTTCATATCCAGTCATAAATTGAGATCATATTTTAGACATGCAGTTCACTTTTGCTTTATTTTTAGCTAATGTATTTATCTCTATTGTCCTGTGCTAGCCACAGTTCTTTTTTTTTTAATTTTATTTATTTTTTTATTTTGAGACAGAGAGGGCATTGAGAGCTGTGTGATGGAGGGAGGTCAGAAGTGAGGCATGAGAGAAAGAGTCCTAGCTTGGGCTCCGTGTTCAGCATGGAGCCCAGCGTGGGGCTTGACCCCACAACCCTGGGATCATGACCTGAGCCGAAATCAAGAGTCGGACACTTAATTGGCTGAGCCACCCAGGTGCCCCTAGCCACAGTTCTTCTAAACCATTTTAATGCCTTCAGTATAAAAATCCCATCATATAGATGTATGATGATTTAACTAACCTTCGTAATGGATGTTTAGATTGTATTCAGTTGTTTCCTATTTTACATCTTTACATAATTTTTTTTATCACATGTTAGTGTTTTTTAAAGTTTATTTATTGTTACTTATTTTGAGTGAGAGAGGGGGAGAGCGAGCGAGCAGGGGAGGGGCAGAGAGAATGGGAAAGAGAGAATTCCAAAGAGGCTCCAAGGTGTCAGCTTGGAGCCCAACACGGGGCTCGATCTTACCAACTGTGAGATCATGACCTGAGCTGAAATCAAGAGTCAGTTGTTTAACTGGCTAAGCCACTCAGGCACCCCACATATGAGTTCTTTTAAGGTAGTTTTATCCTGCCTTTTTCACTTATTTTTCCATGTAATTATTCTTTAAAAAGATTATACATAAAATACAGTATAATGTTAATATATAACTTTATAATAAATGTAATTAGTGGCTATATATTATTACATTATTTGAACCTATTTCCCTACTGGACATTTTGCTCATTTCCTGTTTTTATTTTTTATAATTGCATGGATGGACATCTTTGTGCATAAAGCTTTTAAATTTCTGATTAGTACCTGAGAAAAGACAGCTGGTGATAGAATGGCTAGGCCAAAGAGCATGTGCATTGTTTATGGTCGTGAGGTAAATATACGTGCTTGCTTCCCAAAAGATTGTTCTAATTCAGCTTTTCCAACAGTAAGAGCTTCTGTTGCACGCCTTAACCTTTGTCACTAGCAAGTTCACATTCATTTTATGGTGTATTCTGTTCTCTTTCCTTCTTGTTCAGTTATTTGGCAACATCTGGTTATCCATGGCCAGCTTGGTCATCTTTATGCAGCTACGTTACCTATTCCACGAAGTGCAGCGTCGGATCCGGCGACACAAGAACTACTTGCGTGTGGTTGGGAACATGGAAGCCAGGTGAGCGAGCCTGAGCTGATGTTGCCCAAGTGCACTCATTTTAGATCTTTCATAGTAACAGATCCCAGGTTACATGAGAACTGCTTTTGTAAGCTATTTACAGAATGGTGAGGAGAATAAGTGGAGGCTCTGGAAGACTGCTGGGTGTGGATCCCCACGCAGTTGCTGTGTGATTTGGGGGCAACTTAATTTAAATCTCTGTGCCTCAGTTGCTTCCTGTCTAGGGGTGATAGCAGAGCCTTCTTTTTGGAACTGTTGGGAGGGATCCGGGGATAATGCAGGTAACATACTTAGAACAGTTATGGATATGTAGTAGCTACTCAATAAATATTAGGTGGTTCTTACTGTGTCATTATTTTTATCATCACTATTATTAAGCAGAAGCTTCCTTGGGCTTCTGCCCTCTATTTTATGAAGTGGGTCTCATTCATTCCTTACTCATGTGTGTTTATGTACATACACGCTCTTAACCTCACCAGAGGAGGGACTCACTCACCAACCTGAGGGTAAACCAAGCCTGACAATGTGAGATTAATGGGTATCCTTTTTGTGTCCGGGGGAACAGTTTGGCTGTTTGGGGGGTTTGCCTAGAATGTTCTCTCAGGTCATTTTTAGCTAATGTGTTATGTGGAAGGAATTAAGAGGAGCTGTTGTTAAGACAGAGTTAGTTTCTGTGTATAAGTTAGTTTCTTGCTTCAGTGGGCTGTGAAGAGAAAGCAGGTGTAATGTTCTTGATGGTTGGGAATGTTTTACGGAACAAGATGTCAGAAGGGGTAACTGGTGTCAGAAGGGCGAAGTTTGTAAAGTGGCACTCTGTGAACGTGTGTGGAATTGACAGAGCTGTCTGCCGGGTGCATTCGTCTCTTACAGGTTTGCGGTTGCAACTCCAGAGGAGCTGGCTGTCAATAATGACGACTGTGCCATCTGCTGGGACTCCATGCAGGCCGCGAGGAAACTGCCCTGTGGACATCTTTTCCACAAGTAGGGACAGGTGTCCTATCCAGGGCATGTGGGTGTTTGTGCTTGGCTCACGACCAGTCCTAGCAGAGAGTGGGGATGTTACCTCAGACTGGTCGTGGAGTGAGTGGTGCGGGCTCTGGGGAGCTTTGGGAGGTTCTCCTCTGTCCCTCAGCCTCTTTCCTACACGGCAGGACTGTTCCCCACCCACAAGTCCGCCATCTTAATTTCTGGGTCTGCTAACTGTCTTCATGCTCCTTGTCAATTTAAGCTCTGAAGTAGAACAGATATGCCTGTTAAGATTTAAAAGAAAGGGATGGGGGTGGGGGAATCCTTGCTTTCAAACAGCTTCTGTGCTCCCTGGGGTAAGAGAATGTGTATTTTTACATTTTTCACATGCACAAAAGCAGCACCACAACAACACGCCAGCAAAGTGGGCTGAGATGGGGACTGGACCAGAACCACCGAACAGTCCAGAAGAGCTGTGAGTGTATTATCAGGGATAACAACACAGGATCTTCAGAAAATCCTTAAGATTGCCCCAGTTCTATGTGGGGACAGGTTTGTTCCTCTCCCAGGGAGTGATCATTTTTGCATATTGGGAAAGTTTTCATCTTTATATCTTTAACCTTCCTTATTTTAGATTACCAAATTGTTTTTCTTTTCTTTTTTTAATATTGGAAGGGGTTTGGAGCTGGAGTATCAGTAACTGAACACATTTATTGATAGAATTTTTTGTGTGCTGGGTGCTGTGTTGGGGTCTGGGAGTGAAACAGCACAGACATGATCTCTGCTTTCATGCAGCTTACAGCCTAATGGAGGAGACGAGCATGAATTAAGCAGGCACGTTTCTGAATGTATAATTATAAATCGAGCTAAGTGCTCTAAGGGGAAGGAACATAGTTCTTTAGAGCTTGTAGCAAAGGAATCTGACTCAAGCCTGGATGAAGTGACTCTTGGTGATGAGTAGGAGTTGAGTCAGCAAAAGGAGAGAGATCCTCTAGACAGGGCAGAATGAGGTGTGTGGAAGGAATGGGAAGAGATTCTATATGCCCGGGGCTTAGATCATAAGGAGTGGCATTTGCTGATGCAGAAGAAGCAGGCAGAAGCTAGACCCTGCAGGGGCTTGAGGGCCAGTGGAAGAGGGGAGAAGTCATCGAAGGGTTTTAGGAGGGGTTGGGGATCAGATTTGCAGCCTAAGAAAATCGGGAGGACTAGTTAGTAATGGCCGCAGTGGTTCGGGTGTGTTTTGAGAGTAGCTTGGGCCACAGTGGTGGAAAAGGGTTGGGGAGCAGTGGACAGATCCATCGGATTGGCCGTGAGAAAGGAATAGAAGACTGGTCAGGGATTCTGGTTTTGTGGCTGTGCGGCTACATGTCTAGTGCTGCTGTCAGTTGAGATTGGAAGACCTGAGAATCCACACCTGTTTCTTCAAAGTTGCTGGGAGACAGTTGGGAAGAACTCCAAGAGTGTACGTCGGTCTAGAAGAAACGTAAAGCACAAGATTAGGTTAAGTTTCGGATTTACTTTTTTGATTAGGGCAAAATTCATACGGCATACAGTTAACCATCGTAAAGTGTGCAGTTCAGTGGCATTTAGTGCATTTCACCATGTTGTGCAACTGTCACTTCTTTCTAGTCTCACAACTTTTTCATCATCACAGAATAACACCTCATACTCGCTAAAGTAACCACTTGCCATTTCTCCTTTCTCCATCACCGGGCAGCCACTCATGTGCTGTCTGTGGATTTGCCTAGTATGGACAGTTCATAGGAAAGGAATCCTGCGTTTTGTGACTGGCTTCCTTCACTGCGCAGAATGGTTTCAAATCCCAAGTTGCAGCAAATAGCAGCACTTTATTCCCTTTTTTATGGCTGAATTAAAAAAATGATAATTTTATAATAATTAAGCAACTTACCCATTCACCTATTGTTGGGCTTTTGGGCTATTTCTACCGCATGGCTGTTGCAGATGATGCTGTGATCAAATTTTTAAACAAGTATCTGAGTACCTGTTTTTAATCCTTTGGGGTATACACCTAAGAGTGCAATTCCTGGGTCATATGTATTTCTGTTTTTAACTTCTTGAAGAACCACCAAACTGTTCTCTACAGCAGCCACACCATTTTATATCCCGCTGACAATGTGTGAGGGTTCTAATTTCTTCACGCTTTGTATTTCACATTTATTTATTTTTCTATTTTATAGCTATCCTAGTGGGAAGTGGTATTTCATTGGGATTTTGATTTGCACTTCCTTAATGACCATTGATGTTAAACGGCGTGCTTGTTGGCTATTTGTATATCTTCTTTGGAAAATGTCTGTTCAAGTCCTCGGCCCATTTTTGAATTGGGTTGTTTGTCTTTTTGTTGATAAGTTGTAAGGTTCTTTATAAATTCTGGATACTAAGCTTTCATCAGATATTATGATTTGCAAATATCTTCTCTCATTCTGTAGCTTTTCTTTTCAGGTTCTTGACAACGTCCTTTGATGCACACAGATTTTTCATTATTATGAATTCCAATGTACCTATTTTTTCTTTGGTTGCTGATAGTTTTAGTGTCAAGTCTAAGAATCCAGTGCCAAATCCGAGGTCATTAAGATTTACCCCTGTGTTTTCTTCTAGTGGTTTTATGGTGTTAGCTCTTATATTTAGGTCATTGATCCATTTTCAATTAGTTAAAAAAAAATTTTTTTTTAATGTTTATTCATCTTTGAGAGAGAGAGAGACAGAATGTGAGCGGGTAAGGGGCAGAGGGACAGGGAGACACAGAATGTGAAGCAGGCTCCAGGCTCTGAGCTGTCAGCGCAGAGCCTGATACAGGGCTTGAACCCATAAACCATGAGATCATGACCTGAGCCAAAGTTGGACGCTTAACTGACTAAGCCACCCAGGCACCCCTTTTTTGAGTTAATTTTTGTACACGAAGTGAGGAAGGGATCTGACTTCATTATTTTGCATGTGGTTGTCCTGTAGTCTCAATACCATTTGTTGAATCTTGTTTTTATTGAATGGTCTTGGGACTCTTGTGGAAATCAGTTGGCCATAGATGTTTGGGTTTATTTCTGGACTCTCCATTCCAATGGCCTGCATGCCTGTTTTTATTTTAGTACTATGCTGTTTTGATTACTGTGAATTTGTAGTATGTTTTGAAACTGGGAAATGGTGAGTCCTCCAACTTTTTCTTATTTCATATTGTTTTGGCCGTTTGGGGCCCCTTGCAATTCTGTATGAATTTGAGAATCCATGTTTCCATTTCTGCACAAAATGCCATTGGAATTTAATAGGGATTGTTTTGAATCTGTAGATCACTTTGGGGAGTATTACTGTTATAAGAATATTAGGTGTTCCAAGCCATGAACATTAATGTCTTTCCTTTTATTTAGGTATTCTTTAATTTCTTTCAGCAATCCTTTGTAGTTTTTAGGGTCAAGTCTTTCATCTCCTTGGTTAAATTTATTCCTAGGTATTTTATGCTTTTGGATACTGCTGGAAATGGAATTGTTTTCTTTTTTAAAAATTTTTTTAAATATTTATTTTTGACAGAGAGAGAGAGAGAGAGAGAGACAGAGCATGAGCGGGGGAGGGGCAGAGAGAGAGGGAGACACAGAATCCAAAGCAGGCTCCAGGCTCTGAGCTGTTAGCACAGAGCCTGATGCGGGGCTCGAACTCACAGACCATGGGATCATGACCTGAGCTGAAGTCAGACGCTCCGCTGACTGAGCCACCCAGGCGCCCCTGGAATTGTTTTCTTAATTTCCTGTTTGGATTATTTATTTCTGCTGTATAGAAGCATAACTGATTTTTACATATTGCTCTTATAACTGTGCAACTTCCTGAATTCGATGATTAGCTCTTTTGTAGCGCGTGTGTGTGTGTGTGTGTGTGTGTGTGTGTGTGTGTGTGTGTTGTTTTGGATTTTCTATAATAGGATCATATCATCTGTGAATAGAGCTGGTTTTACTTACTTTTTTTTTATTATTTGGAAGTCTTTATTTCTTTTTCTTGCCTAATTGCTCTGGCTAGGACTTGCTGTACAATATTGAATAGTAGTGGTGAAAACAGGCATCCTTATCTTGTTCTTGAGCTTGGAGGAAAAGCTTTTCATCTTTCAGTATTGAGTGTGATATTACCTGTGCGTTTTCATGAATGTCTTTTATCATGTTAAGGGTGTTCTCTTCTGTTCCTAGTTTGCTGAGTATTTTTATCTTGAAAGAGTGGTTAGTTTTGGTAAGTGATTTTTCTGCCTCTATTGAGATTATCGTATGATTTTTTTTTTCCTATTGTTCTAGTGTATGTTATACAGATTCATTTTCTTATGTTCAACCACACTTGCATTCCTAGGATAAATCCCTCTTGTTCATGGTATGTAATCTTTTTAAATGTACTGTTGGTTTTGGTTCACTGGTATTTTGTTGAGGATTTTTGCATCTGTATTCATAAGAGATACTCTTGTGGTGTCTTTGTCTGGTTTTGGCATCAGGGTAATGCTGGCCTCATAGTGTGTGATAGGAAGTTTTCTCTCCTGTATTTTGGAAGATTTTGAATAGGATTGGGGTTCATTCTTGACGTATTTGGTAGAGTTCACCAGTGAAGCCGTCTGGTCCTGGGTTTTTCCTTTCTGGGAGATTTTTTGATTGAGTCAAGTCTCTTTACTTGTTTAAGTCTGTTGCAATTTTCTATTTCTCCTTGAGTCATTTTAGGTAGTTTCTTTGTTGGTAGGAATTTACCCATTTTATCTATATTCTCTAATTTGTTAGATTATAGTTATTTCTAGTATTCTGTTATAATCCTTACCATTTCTATAAGGTTGGTAATAATGTTCCTACTTTCATTTCTTTTTTTTCACACTTTCATTTTTTATTTTAATTATTTGCATTTTTTCTTAGTCCTGCTAAGAATTGTCACTTTTGTTGATTTTTTTTTTTTTTTAAGAACCAGCTTTTGGTTTCATTGATTATTCCATTGTTTTTCTGTTCTCTATTTTCAGTTACCTATGCTCTAATATTTATTATTGCCTTCCTTCTTCTGGCTGTGGGTTTCTTTGCTCCTTTTCTAGTTCCATAAGACACAAAGTTAGGCTGTAGATTTGAAATCTTTTTTCTTTTTATGCATTTTTAGCTATAAAATTTGCCTCTGAGGCATTGCTTCTGTTGCATCCCATAAGTTTTGGTATGTTGCGTTTTTTTATGTCATTTGTCTCAGTATTTTCTAACTGCACAAGGGTTAATTTTTAAAACACTCATCTGTCTTGGTTGAGTGAACAACACATTAATAGGACCTCTTGGTTTGCCCTACTTTGTAGCTTTGGTTAATAGAATGGGAGTGGGATTGTGGAATGATAAGTTGTTTCATGCTGGTCTCAGCCTATCGATAATCAGTATTGGGGCTGCCCTGGCCCTTGTGGTTCTTATTATAATAGCAAGACACCCTTAGCAATAACCATCAGGAAACTTTGGGGAAAAAAGATTTATAGGTACAGGTCTTAGAAAGCACATAGCACACCTGGGGCCACACAGTGAAGTTGTGGGTAGGATGAAAGTGTGGGGTGGGGTTCTGCTTTTATTAGGGTGGAGGGTAGAGGCCTAGGGCTTCATGGGCTCACTCTTTCTTGGTGAATTTAAAAAATAAGAATATGAGTTTAAAGCACAGGAAGAGAAGACGCAACCTGTCCACTTGATCAGTTTTCAAAATCAACCAAGATCTCTAAAACAAATTGGGGGGAGGAGAGGGGCTGGCTCTTTATTTAGTCATGTGGCTGGCATTGTGTGTATTCGAGATAGTCATCTTTGAATTGAAGGCCTAGGCTGTCAAAACTTAAAGCAGGCACTTGCACTGCAAAAAGAAAAGCCGGCTGTCCAGGCTTAACACTACAATAACCAAGGGCAGATTCATTTTAATCTGTGATAAAACTAAATGTCTAGATTCTAGCAGATTGTATAGCTAGATAATTTGTTTTGATAGAATAGGTCTTTGCAAGATTTCATTCAGAGTCCAACAAATATTCTGTCACATTGAAGTATCAAACTTAGATGGAGGAGAAATACTCTTTCAATAGAGTATTATTATAGTTATAGAAAAAAAATACATGTTTTTTTCTGAAGTTTGGTTTCTTTAGCTGTGAAAGTCTAGCCTTTCATTTTTAAAGCAACTGTGTCTAGTCCTCACCTTGGAGTTTTCAGGCTGTTATATTTAATGTGGGAGGTTTTTGCAGAATATGAAATTAGGTTTGCTTATGAAAAGTGTGTCACAATGTGGCATTATTGGAGGGTGCCCAGGATCTCAACATACTTTTGTAGTCCCACACAAGGCTCATTTTACTGGTGGTGTGATTTAAGGGTGTTCGTTAGGGAAGTGGACTTGTGTTAATTACTTATCTACTTATTTACTCATGAGAAAAGGAAACAAACTTTTAAAATATATAATCATTTATCTGGTTGAATTAAATGATCACAAACAAGTCCTTTATATATAGGTGATGTTTATTTCAAGTGTGATAATGTTGGCCGTACACACACATTATTTTGTCACATTACTGTCATAAGCTCTTCTGGAGCAGAGATAGTAAGAAATAGCTCCATCTTGGCCTCAAGGAGAATTTTGATACGTAAGTACTGATAGGTTGCCAGAGGCTCAGGGGATCATCACATTAGGGTGAGGCTCTCCTTCATAAATGTACCCGTGTCCGCAGATACTAAAAATGACACCAGGGAAGTGAGCACTTTTTATTCAGTCCCTCCTTGAACTCTTAGAAGAAAGATAATGTGTTATGGGATGGGGAGCCTTCTTGAAATCTTAGAAGAAAGGTAATATATTGTTATAAAATAGGAAGAAACCTTAGAGATCACATCATCCAACCTTCTTGGTTTTGTTAATATACTTCCCGTTAATGACAGCACAAGTAGTTATCCCATCTGGAATAATTAGGGCATTGTCATCTTCTGAGAAAGGGGGCAGAAGAAGCTTCCAGCCTTGTTGGGAGACCAGAGTATGAATAGCAGAGGGCTGGAGAAGCTGAGGTGGCAGGTGTAATGGAGGGGTTGTAGGTAAGTGAGATGAGGACGGGAGTAAGGACTTGAGGGGTTGTGACGCTAGATGAGGAAGTGGTGGCATTGTGGACGGGTGCTCTCAGCAAATAATGGTCTTGGGAGTGAACTGGAAGGAGAAGAGCTTTAGTTAGAATGAGATCTTTGGAGTCAAAAGTTTGAAGAGAAGGCCAAGATTGTGACTGTGTTAGTGGCTAAAGTAGAGTGAGAACAGATTACTGCAGTAGAAGATTCAAAGACATAAGAGGCTAGAGTGTTGGGTGATTCAGCCTCATGGATTTTGAAGTAGACAATGGAGTTGGAAAGGAAGATGACGGGCCATGTGATAGAGTCTTACTGCAGACAGGTCATGACCAGGAGCTCGGTAGGTGACCACATATGTTGATGGATTAATGTTCACAGCAGAACACACTGGAAGCGTGTGAGTAAAGAGGTAATGTCAACAGACGTTTCTCAACATTTAAATCTCACTATTGGTAAATAGAAGCTAAAGTTGCAACACATTTGCTACATTCGGAGTACTTCTGGTGAATTCTTACAAAAAATACTAAGGATATCTTATTTTGGACTTTCCCATAGCTCCTGCCTTCGTTCCTGGCTAGAACAAGACACCTCCTGCCCAACATGCAGAATGTCTCTTAATATCGCTGACAATAACCGGGTCCGGGAGGACCATCAAGGAGAGAACTTGGATGAGAATTTGGTTCCTGTGGCAGCCGCTGAAGGCCGCCCTCGCTTAAACCAACACAATCACTTCTTCCACTTTGATGGTTAGTTTCAACCTCTAAAACGGTACCCACGGGTTTCTCCCCTAAGGGGATGCTGGTTGAATTATAAATTGCCCTGCCTAGGCCAATTTAACAGAAATATTTCCATCTCAGTTGAAAGTGTTCAGTAGGCATGGAGAGCACTGGAGAGTTACTCTGTGCCGGGCATTTGCTGGATTCTGTGTGAATATGGGGGCAGGGAGGAGGGGGAGAAAGAGGAGGAATGAATATTGACTCAGCCAGGCCTGTGAGGACCACACTTAATGAGTTAACCATTGCTGATAATTTATTACATCGGTGTAGTACTTATGCAGGAGCATTGAGTAGACTTTCCAGTGAGTACCAGAAGCAGAATCAGAGCTAGAGCCTTTTCCTTGTCCATAAAATATGAATATTCTGCCCCTTACAGTTTTGCAAGGAGTTGTAGTAAAAACCCCACTTAAAATTCTGAAGCCATGGGCTGCACACCGGGGGCTGGTTGATCATCCTTCTTTAATTCATGTTGCAGTGAGCTGTTGTGGATTCTTATCACTTCTAATACCACTGAGTTCCATGAATTAATATTTGTTACCATGAAATAGGTATCCTTGGGATTTTGTTAGGAGGAGTGTTCTTTTTTTTTAAATATAATTTATTGTCCAATTGGTTTCCATACAACACCCAGTGCTTATCCCAACAAGTGCCCTCCTCCATGCCCATCACCCACTTTCCCCTCTCTCCCACCCCCCATCAACCCTTAGTTTGTTCTCTGTATTTAAGAGTCTCTTATGGCTTGCCTTCCTCCCTCTCTGTTTGTGACTATTTTTTCCCCTTCCCCTCCCCCATGGTCTTCTGTTAAGATTCTCAAGATCCACATATGAGTGAAAACATACAGTATCTTTCTCTGACTGACTTATTTCACTTAGCATAATACCCTCCAGTTCCATCCATGTGGCTGCAAATGGCCAGATTTCATTCTTTCTCATTGCCAAGTAGTATCTCATTGTATATATAAACTACATCTTCTTTATCGTTCATCAGTTGATGGACATTTAACCTCTTTCCATAATTTGGCTATTGTTGAAAGTGCTGCTGTAAACATTAGGGTACTTGTGTCCCTATGCGTCATCACAGGAGGAGTGCAGTTTTGATCTGATTTGAGTTGCCAGGGGGTGGAGCATTATGGGAGCCATGGTGTGTTGATGAGACCCCTCATAGGAGGATGAAGGGCAGTAGAGTCTGGTCTCCGAGACTAGGAGGTGAGGCCGCGTGGCTGGCTGGGCCACGGGTGCCGGAGGGTTGAGAGGCAGCTGCTTTGTTGGCTGTCGATTAAGGCCTCTACCAGGTAGGACTTTGGAAATACGCTAGCAGATCTTGCACGTGGGGCCCAGCTGTATAATCCGTTACCTTATGAATTTGTGCTAAAAACTTAGTCAAAATAGAAAAGTTAACTTTGTTTCTCCCTGGGAAGTACATGAAATAAGAACCTAGTTTTTTAATAGGCACATTTTGTTGGGCGGGACCTTGAGACAGTCATTGAACTTGTTTTTATATTCTATGCCTCGGTGCTTCTTTGTGAAGGAAAGCAAAATAACTCCTAAACAGGTAGCTTGATTAACCAATACTTGGAGCTTTAGCTTAGGGTCCCCCCTTTTCTTGGGGAAATGGCAGAAGCCGCCGACTTCTTGGCTCCACACACAAGCCTGTGTTGTCGAACTCTTTGAAAAGAATTTCGAATCGAATGAGAAAACCAAGGTCTTTAAATCAGATGATGCGATAGAAAATACCTTATGAAAATAATTGTGAAAATGATGTCTCCACGTGGGTGGTATTTGTGTACGGTGTGACAGGAGCACAAGCCCCTCTCTCGTAGCAGCTGTAGAGCCTTAAAGCCTTCCTTCTGTGCCAGGTGGAGAACAGATTGACCTGTGGATCCAGGGCGTCTGGAAAGCAGGAGGGCCTAGTGGTGAAGGATTCTGGAACCTGACTGTCTGGTTGCAAATCCACCATAATTGTGTGATGTTGGGCAAGTTACCTGACTTCTGAGTGCCCTCAGGACAAAAGACCATGAGAACTGAGTTTTCTCTGAGAAGAGTGAAACGGGTATAAAAGTAGCGATGATCCAATGAGCTGATCTGTGTGAAACCCTTGGTACAAAAGGCCTGGCACACAGTAAGCCGTCAGTGGAACGAGCTGGGGTCCCCGAGCGGCCGACCCCAGACTGGACCATGCAGGGGACGAGATCTCTAACTTGTGCTGGGTTCTCTTTGTCTTAGGGTCCCGGATCGCAAGTTGGCTGCCGAGTTTCTCCGTCGAGGTGATGCACACCACCAACATCCTAGGAATTACACAGGCGAGCAACTCCCAGCTGAATGCGATGGTAAGGACCGCCGTGCTTCGGGGTGGTTGGTGATCAGGGAGGGGCTGGACGCTGTGCACTGTGTGCTTCACTCTGGCCGAATAGCAGGATTTTCAGGGGCGTGTGACGTAGTAGCTGGGACAACTTCAGTTCATGTGTTGTCAAATTTGAAACTGCTTTGGAAACCAGCTTCCATTTTAGATGTGTGGCAGATCATCTGTCTGTTTCTGAGCACCGCCGGGTTCGCTGTGTTGTGATCTAGGCCAATCTTGGGATGCTCCTTGATGCTAACCAAAAATATTTAGAGACTTAGTGACTGGAGAGAATGATGGGCCTTTTATTAAAAGTTGTATGAGACCTGCTAAATGTGTTTTCCTGATCCTGTCCCCTTCCCTCCCGCCAAATAAGTAAATACACGTGTGCACGCACGCACACGCACACACACACGTCTGTGGGTATGCACATATATCTATATGCCTTGAGATATGGAGGCACACATACTGTTAGCTCAAGGATACTGTTCAAATATTCTTTGTGTTTCTCTAAAGCTTTGTCATATGGCGGGTATTTTTGTTTTACAGAAACGTGTCGTTATCACTGCAATTTAGTGTTCATTGTGATGATGGATGCAGGACTCTTAAAATGCTAACTGCCTTAGTCCTGCTTAGATAGCGCTGCTGGCTGACCTGGGTAAGCCTGGTCAGTACTTCAGAGAGGCACTGGTTCATTTCTTCATTCCTTTATCTTCATGTACTTGACAAATCTGTACTGAAAGCCCACTCCTGCGACAGGTATGATGCAGTGTAAACGGTTGCATAGCACCTGCCAGGCAAACCAGGTAGATGTGGGCCCCACTCCCAGGAAGTGTAGATTTTAGCCGGGGAGACTGGTTATAAACACAAACAAGATCATTGCTGATGGCAGTGAGTGCTCTGAGGGCAGTAAGGCCGGCAATGCGGCAGAGGTGGAGGTAAGAGCTATTTTAGCGGAGGTGTCTGAGTAGTTCTTTCCGAGGGGCTGGTACTTGATCTGAGACAAGAAGGATGAGAAAGAGGCAGTTGGGAGAAAAAGAGGCAGCGGAACCGACAGGTTCAAAGGTCATGAGGTGAGAAAGCCCTGGGGGCACAGCGGTCACTGTGGTTGGAGCCTAGTGAGTCAGAGACCAAGGTTGTGATGCACGCTGATTTTGCAGAGCCGGGTCATGGCAGGGGTTAGTAGGCCACAGCTCGGTGTAGATCTTATTGTGAAAGTATTGGAAGGTTGTTAAGGCCTTTTTCCTCCCACAGGGGACTGACAGGACATTTAACAGAATGATTTGCTTCTGAGAGACTGGGTTATAGAGGGGCAGGGATGGAAGCAACGAGCCCAGTTAGGGGGCTGTGCAATAATGCAGGTGAAAAAAAGAGTGGTTTGGACCAGGGTGTTGGCAGTAAGAATGAAAAGAAGGGGCGGCTTGAAGACACTTTGGGATGATGCGCCGACAGGACTGGACGACACTTTGCTTTGGGTGAGCAGGTGATGGGCCCGCGTACCGAGATGGGCGGAAGCAGGACTGAGGACGGGGCTTCGGCCTTCCTTCCGGCCAGAGGTGAGCCATCCGCATGGAGATGCCACGTAGGCATCTGGACCTCGCCGAAGAGGTCAGGCTGGAGGTGGACACTTGGGAGTTCTCGGTCTGTAGGTGCTCCTCGAGGCGGGGAGCAGGTCTCTTCCTGGGAGAGGATGAGGCTCACGATGAGGAGAGGACTCCGGGCCAAGGGCTGGCAGAGAGGGAGGAGCCACATGGTGACCTAGGAGGAGGGAGACCGGGAGAAGGTGCAAGGCGAGCACGTGGGGATTCTTAGAAGGTGAGGTCGGAGGAGGACGTGTTGGATTCGGCAGAATGGAGGCGGTTGGTTAACTGCAGAGGAACAGGCGGCTTCCGTGGCCTGAGGGATGGGATCTTCCCGGTAGATTGGGAAATGAGTGGGCACTGAAGAAACAGACTGGGGCTGGCAGCGTGTTGTAAAAGTGGGCGGAGCGGTAGAAGTGGTAGCTCGCGAGGATTATGGTGTCAGGGGAGCTTTTGGCTCTTTTAAGATTTCTTTTTTGAAGGTTTTTGAGCAGGTCCTTTCTGCACAAGTTCCAGAAGTTCTAGAGGAGGATCCAGGGAAGTCATGCTCTCTCATCCTTTGGTCCATCCACCCAGTCCCCGGCCCAGGAACAGCTGCGGAATCACAGTTTGTCTCTCTGAGCCTGGCTTATTTCACTTGCCACAGCATCCTCCGAGTTCATCCGTGTTGTAGCAGGGGTCAGAGTTTCTTCTTAGGCCGAATAGTGTTCCGTCGTGTGTGGAGACCACACACACGTTGCTTACGTGACTCTCCGCCGACGGCCGCTTGGATTGCTTCCGCCTTTGGGCTCTTTTGCGTCATGCTGCGGTGGGCATGGCTGTACGAGTTCTGTTCTCTGGTCTCACTTCTTTTGAGTACCCGTGGGTCTTTTGTAAAGATAGATGTGGTAGCCTGCTTGGGGTGCAAATGGGAATGATCACTAGAGAGGGAGAGATGGAAAGTGCGGTGCACACAGGGAAGTAAAGATGGAAGAGGAAGACGGGAAGCTGGAGGGTGGGGTCAGGAGAGAGGCATTCGCCTCTGTTAGGAGGGCGGACGGAGGCAGCTCCAGCGCTTCGTTGAGACGTGGTTTAAGTAGAAGGCCTGGCTCATGATAACCAAGAGGCAGAAGCAGCCTGAGTGTCTACCAGGTGAATGGATGTATGATGCATACAGTGGAATATTAGCCAGCCTTAGAAAAGCAGGAAATCCCATCACGTGCCCCAACATGAATGAACCTCCGGGACGTTACACTAAATGAAATAAGACCATCACAGAAAGACAAACACTGCAGGATTCCACTCAGATGAGGTCTCTAAATTAGTCTCACTCTTAGAAACAGAAATTAGAATGGGGGTTGCCAAGGGCCAGTGGGGAGGGCGATGGGGAGTTGCTCCTCAGGGTTTCAGTTTTGCAAGATGGCAGAGTTCTAGAATCTGTCGCACGGTCATGTGCATATGGTTCGCCCTACCGTACACTTAAAAATGGTTAGGATGGTTATATGTTTTTGACCATAGTAATAACAGAAAAAGTCCTGGGTTCCTGCTGCCTCTTGCTTCCTCAGGGAAGTGCTCGGCCACATCAGCAGTGTGTGTGAGTGACAACCTAATGGACATAGATGGTCTGCAGTGTGGCGGCCTAATGCGCCACCCACCGGCTTGTGTCAGGCTCTGTGTGTGGACTTTGGGGTCTGGCAGCTGTTGAAGTCCTGCAGGTGGATCACCTCGCCTGCTCCCTAAAAAAATCAGAATCACGGGCACGTAACCCTCTAGGAATAAGAATTATTCTTGGAGTTAGTGTGTTTAGCATTCTCTGATAGTCCCCGGTTGGTCTTTCTCTAGCTCCATGATGGATTGGAATAGCCTATTCTTAACATAATTAGTTTACTAGAACCATACATTTTTTATAAAGATCCAATATTTAATTCACTGGATTTTCTGGAAGAAAAGCTTTGGTCTGGTAAAATGAATCTCAGGGAAATGAGGGGGAAGCTGTTGAAGAATGGAGAAGAATGTTACCTGATTGTCTAGGTTTTTATGGACTCTTCTTCACTTAGTGTTCATTTGACCCTGGGGCAGGGGGAATGATCAGCTCCCGTTCATAGAAACCCTGAGGGGACCCAGAAGTGCGGGGCTATTGGTCCTGCTGCTGGGCTCTGCCTGTCTAGCCCTCCCACCCCAGTGAGACACTAAGCGAAGCTTTGTGCGTGTTTCACCCTGGTCTTTGCTCTCAAGGCCCTGATGTTGGACACCTTCTCCTTCTGCAGTTACAGTACTGTGCTCCTGAGGAGCTAATACCCCAGTGGTAGACTTCCTTATGCCTCGAAAGCAATCACATTTTTCCTGCTCTTTTGTTCTTTTGATCATTGGGGCTTTTCCACAATAAAACCATGAACATAAGCATTGTACATTCTCATAAGCATATGTACATTGTACATAAGTATGTACATTCATTTAATGTACATACCTGAAAAATAAAATCTGGGCCTTTGATGCAAGTATGGGTGGTAGTGTGCTGGGAGACCTGTGCCATCTTCCCCTAGACACAGACTGCTGCTCAGAGCCCCGCCCACGTGGGCTCTGAGACGTTTCTAGAGGGCGGTTTGAAACCTACAGCTCTAGTGTTATGAATTTACATTCTTTATAATCTTTTTTTTTCTGATGGTGGTGTAATAATTTACATCGGGTAGATTCACCCTTCGTAGTATCTGATTCTGTGTATTTTGTCAAATTCATACGGTTGTGTGGCCACCACCATACTCAAGGTATAGAAGAGTTCCATCTACCCCGCCCCAGATTCCATTGTGCCCTTTTGTAAAATTGCTTCCTCTCCCCACCTTCAATCTCTGGCAACCACTTACCAGTTTTCTGTCCCTTTAATTTTGCCTCTTCTAGAATGTCATGTAAATGGAATTATACAGTGCATAGCCTTTGAGCCAGGCTCTTTCACTTAGCCTAATGCATTGGAATTTCATCCATGCGGGTGTGGTATCAGAAATTTGTTCCTTTTCGGCATTATTCTTTAAGGGGAACACATTTTTTTTACCTGAATTATACCGAGCTTTAAAATGAACACTTTTTAAAATTGGGATATTCTAATTGAACCTGTTTCGGGATCCAGCTGGATTTCCATGCTCTTTTTATTTTGAAATCGAGGCTGTTCCCAGCTACCTGTTTGGCATCCTAGGAAAATGCTAGAATGAGTGAGGTTTGATGGGGATCTGCAGAATAGAGGGGCGCCTTGCCTGTGTTTTCAAGGCGGAATGCCGAGTTCAGTGCTCAGAGCTTGCCATACACCATGACCCCAAGGAGTCACTGTTGAAGGTGAACGTTTCCAAGGCTTCCATATTTGTATTCCTGCAGGCTCATCAGATTCAAGAAATGTTTCCCCAGGTGCCATACCACCTGGTGCTGCAGGACCTCCAGCTGACACGCTCGGTAGAAATAACAACGGACAACATTTTAGAAGGACGGATTCAAGTACCTTTTCCCACACAGGTACACTGGGGTTTTATGCATGAAAAGTGGATTCTGTCTTCACAGAGATTTAATCCTGTAGTTTAACTCTTTAGTTACTTAATTGAATATCACTCATGATTTGATGAAGGGTCTCTACGAATGTCCTCACTTTCCAAAGTTTGAGGGTAGACCCATCAAAGAGGCTCAGATCCTCAGACAAGGACAAGTGTATTTGGGTAATTTTTTGTACAGATGCACACCCCACATCAGCCTGCCCTCGCCAGTCCAGGAGGTCATAACCTTGGTTCCTCTGGGACGAGGATTGGCAACCTTTCTCTGTAAAGGGCAGATAGGCGTAGGCTTTGTGAGCCATGGGGCTCCTGTTGTCGCATCTCAGCTGTGGCTGCTATAGCACTGACAGTGTGTGAATGGATGTGCATAACTGTGTTCTAGGAAAAACTTATCCATAAAAATAGGTGGAGGGTGGATTTGGCTGCAGGCCAAAGCTGACCCCCAGCTCTAGGAGGTAATGCCCTCTGTCCCCGGTTGGCTTTGCGCATTGGTGGGATTTTTTTCATTAGCTGTAATAGCTATGATACTTCTGTTTTTAAAAGGTCACATTTCCTGGCCCATTATATAACCTCTTTGATGGGCACAAGAACTATTAACATTTGATTTATTTACTCTCATTTTTATTATTGGAATAGAGTTGACATACAATGTTATATTAGTTTCAGATGTATACTAGCGATTTGACGCAGTGTTAACATTTCAAAACAAGGTTCCTGGCAGGACCAGGGGATAGATACATGACCAAGAGTCATTTAACAAGAAATTATTCAACTTCATGTATAAGACTATGTAGAAATCTATTAATAAAATCCGAAAATTTGAGAATCTTTCAAGAGAGAATGAGCCTAGAGCATGGAGTCAAATGGGCTGACATTAGACTTGCCTTATCTGTCCTTCCCTATTTGACCTGGCTTTTGGCTTTGGATTATCCAGCAGCAGAGCCTGGGACAAGGATTCGAGTGCCAGTGGTTCATCTGAGAAGGCTGCAGGAAACAGGCAGCAGGTGGGGCTGTGAGATGGCGGTGCGGGGAAGGCGGCCAGTAAGGGTTACCTGGCAGGTTACTGTCATGGATGCCTAGAGCTTGATCCCACTGGGGCCTCCCAAGTGGCAGTGAGGAGGGGCATTTATATGCCACTTCCCGTCAGCTGCTGGTTGACTGGGGCTCAGAGTGACCTTGTGCAGCCAGAGTGAGCTCTCAGGCAATGAATTACAGAAACTGGCCAGCCCACACTGACGTGGCAGGACCTGCAGGGAGATGGGCAGAGCCCCAGAGCATCTGTGGCCGTGGCCAAGATCTCAAACTGGCTAAAAATGAGAAGAACGACAGTACCTATTTCATAGGGTGTTAAGATAAACGAGATGGTCACGTTGAGTTTCTGCAAGCGTTCAGTCAGTGTTACCTGCTGTCGATCTGTCACCGTCCAGTCACTGTCACTGAGGAGAAACTGAATGTGGTGCCAGTTGATGACTCAGACTCACACTCAGGCTCCCTTGTCTTCTCTTCGATCTTAGTAGCATCTTCATTTCTTTGCTGCTGCAGACTCTGTCAAAGCCCAGATAGCGTTGGGGACCGGAGCTCCCTCTGCACCCCGGGATTTCTCCAGCCCTGTTCCATAAGCCCCTGAGCAGCTCTGTACAGTCTGTGGTGCTTTTTCTCTTGCAGCGCTCAGATGGCATCAGGCCTGCACTGAACAGTCCTGTAGAAAGGCCAAACGGAGACCAGGAGGAGGGAGAAGCTTCTGTGCAGGTAAGGTGTGCAAGGGCGGTGTGTGTGTGTGTGTGTGTGTGTGTGTGTGTGTGTGTGTGTGAGAGAGAGAGAGAGAGAGAGAGAGAGAGAGAGAGAGAGAGAGTGAGTATGGGACCGGGGGCAGTCTTGTAGTGCCCGGCAGTGGTCTTCAGTCCTGTCTTTGATGTGCATGAGGCCTCAGGGGTGTCAGAGAAGGCCTTGTGCCACATTGTTCCGGTATGTCAGGTTAGCAAACCCGGCTGTGCCCACGCCATGGCCTGCATTTCCACCTAGGGCCTGCCACCGCCCGCTCACTGGGCATTATCCTTGGGACCTGGAGGAGAACGGAGTCATGCTGTCCCCGGGCCAGCCCTGCCATCTTGACCTTGAGCAGTAGCCCTAGGAGGGGCACGGGGAAGCTGGGCACAGGCAGGACTCTGGGTGATCGGACTCATCTGAACCCAGACAGGGGCTGACTGGGGCTCGGCTCTCTCGAGCTGAAATCGTTGAAGTCTTCTCCCCAACACCTCCCTTGGCCAACTCAGCGTTTCCAAGTGCTTCCGTGCACTTCATGCCAATGAGACCCTCTGGTGTATGGGTGGGGAGGAGTGTGGTTATCTTGGGAGCCAGATTGGCCTGGATATCCACTTAGGTGAGTCGAGGTGGCCATCCCTTCCAAAGGCAGCTCCTCTGTCTGGTCTCCAGGGCAGAGGCCCCCCCTCCCCCATGCTCTTAGCCCCCCACCGTGGGGGTTCTGGTTCACACCCTTTGTCTGTAATTCCCATTTGCTTAATCAATTACCACACTTTCCAGAAACTTTCTTGAGACTGGAGAATACCCCAGACAACCCTGTCTTTGTGCTTCTGTGCTTGTGACGTGGGGTTTCCCACACACGGGGCTGGGGGCTGACGCTGGTGCTGCCTTGTCCAGCGGTGTTGCTCAGGGTGACGCTGCTCTTCCTGAAGCAGCTGCTTTGATGGGTGAGTGACATGGAAGCTGCTTTCACCTCGTACCTTGTGTGCTTTTCTCTGCAAACAGGAAGCTCTAGAAACTAAGACTCTCTCAGATCCTGTTGCTGAGTTAAATTTTTCACACCCAAATCCATATTTGGATTGTGCAGCATTCGTAAAGTGGTACCTGGCTTCTGGAGAAGGAATTCAGTTTTGCATTCCCGGGTTTTTGGATAGCAGGCCCAGCTTAGATTTGAGTGCTGGGCTGGCTGGGGGCCCTTCGGGGTAGAGCACGTTCACTTTCTGTCCTGATCTTTAACTCTGTTTTTATAGTTAGTGGGAAGATTTCTGAACTTTTTGTAGCACAGTGAAGGGAATGTACTTACTTCACAAGGAACGTGCTCTGTAGTGTTTCCAGTCATTCCCAAGTAAGAAGTTCTTGGATAACAGTCCGTTTAGTAAAACTTCCATGTAGCACAAGCGTGGCACTGGCTGTGCTGGTTGGTACTGAATGCGGTCTGTCCCCGGCCTAAGCTCAGGCCTGCTTGGAAGCCAGCAGAACTGGGGGTGCGCATCCGTTTCCTTCCTTCATCTCCCCCATTTACCAGCTGCTCTTTCTACCTCCTCCAGGGTCGGGCTCAGGAGGAGGGCGGGTTAGGACAGGCCACATGACCCCACCATCCCGTGTGTGTGCATGTGCTACATGTGTGAGTGTATCACAGTTGTTACCTCAGCTGTCCTTCCTCAGAACTTGGGCAGGCCTTTTCTAACCATCCCTCCCTTCATGGAGACCGTATCACCCTCCAGGCGGTCCTTTGGGCCGGGTCTGTTTCAACAACCTCAGGCTGGTTCCCTCCAGCATCTGTGGCCGCCCCGAAGGACACACAGTGGGGCCTTACCGTCGGTGGAAGTTGGACTCACTCCCCTTTTTTTATCTGCCACAAGCAGGTGTCTTTCTCTTCGACTCCTTGCGCGTGTTAGTCGTCACCAGTCCCCGGGAGCCCCCAAACTCTAGGGAATAGGAGTTTGGACACATGGCTGTCTTGAAGTCCCCTCATTCATTTGACTGAAGGCAGGGAAGGGTGGTGAGGTCGCGTAACAAGTGCCACACGCCAAGAAATCTTACAAATGTGCCAGTCTCTCAGCCTCTTCCACCTCAACACTCTTGTCACCTAGAGGTGGGTGCTAGGCTGACACTGGCCAACCTGGGTCTGTCTGGTAGCAGGAACATCAATGTTCAGGCACTGGCCTAAGTGTGTGGGGCGCCTGGGCATTGCCGTAGTGTTCAGAGCTTTAGCCAAAACCGAGAGAGCCCAAAATTTTAATATCCTGTTATACAAAGAGTCTTGTGATCTTATATCTGTTTTTATTTAAAAAAAAAAAAAATTTTTTTTAACGTTTATTTATTTTTGAGACAGAGAGAGACAGAGCATGAACGGGGGAGGGGCAGAGAGAGAGGGAGACACAGAATCGGAAGCAGGCTCCAGGCTCTGAGCCATCAGCCCAGAGCCTGACGCGGGGCTCAAACTCACGAACTGCGAGATCGTGACCTGAGCTGAAGTCGGACGCTTAACTGACTGAGCCACCCAGGCGCCCCTTATATCTGTTTTTAAAAAGATCCTTAGAAGTTACCCTTTTTAGGGGCACCTGGGTGGTTCAGTCGGTTAGGCATCTGACTTTGGCTCAGGTCATGATCTCACAGTTAACGAATTCGAGCCCTGCGTCGGGCTCTGTGCGGACAGCTCAGAGGCTGGAGCCTGCTTCAGATTCTGTGTCTCCCTGTCTCTCTACCCCTTCCTGGCTCATTCTGTCTCTCTCTGTCTGTCTGTCTCTCTCTCACTTTCTCTCAAAAAGAAATAAACATTAAAAAAAAAATTTACCCTTTTTTATCTGCCTGCCTCTGTTTTCAGAATCAAGTGAGGGTGTAAAATTTGTGTAGTAAATGTGATAAGACTTGTTTAAGTTTCAGAGCAATTAGTAGAGTTGAACAAAAAATTCCCAGAATGTAAATCAACTTGGAGTTAACTTTATTGTTTGCTGAGAGTACAGTTTCAAGGTGTCTGTGTTTTTCATACTGGTGATCATCTACAAAAAATTGCACTAATCTTGAACATCTGGCGTGAGTCAGATGCCGTTCTTAGTGGCGCACAGGCCTCCCAGAGCCCACGCCGGCCGTTATTCATATGCCGATGGTTCCCCACCTGGCAGCCTGGCTCCCTGTGGGTGCAGAAGAACACTGTTCGGGGCACTCAGGTGGGGCGGGGAGTCCTAGCGGGAGGGCGGTCCGTGCTCACAGAGGCCCCCTGCTTCCTCTGTGCCCAGACCGAGCGTGTGCCCCTAGACCTCAGTCCTCGGCTGGAGGAGGCCTTGGACTTCAGCGAGGTGGAGGCGGAGCCTGGCGAGGGCGAGGACTTTGAGGCCCGGGGGAGCCGCTTCTCCAAGTCTGCGGACGAGAGGCAGCGCATGCTGGTCCAGCGGAAGGATGACCTCCTGCAGCAGGCTCGCAAGTAAGTCGACCCTCCGGCTCTCGCTCGCGCGTGTCTCTGGTCGCAACCCGGTGGCCCGGGGACCCTCGTCGCGTCAGGCCCACGTCCTGCCTTTTTAAACAGATTCCAACATTGAAAAGCCATTCAAAACGTTCAGACTCCAAACCTCTCTTGGAAAAGCAAAGGGTCCGGACCTGACCGGTGTCCCCCAGTGAGCTCCCGTGGACGCCTTTGGTCACACCTGCACAGAGCACCCACGTGCCGTGTGTCCTGAGCCCTCAGCGGTGCTTCTGCTTCTCCGAACTCTCGAGGGGAGCACTCTGATTGCATCCACGTGAGAGGCAGGGCTGAAGGAACAGGCCCAGAGAGGCCGACCCGGCCCGGTGTCCGCTCCCAGGCTGCCCTCCTGGCCACTGGGCCTGCCAGTGGAGGTGTGGGGTGGCCCTGTGGTGGCCGGTGGAGAGGGGGACCGGACAGCCGCTTGACGGGCCTCCTCCCCGATGCAGGGAGCCTCTGCCCCTCTGTCCGGGGACAGGTGTCTTTTCCACGGGCTGGTGCCAAGTGACCGCAGGAAGGTGCCCGGGAAGCTGTGTGTTTCTGCGTGTGTGTGTGTGTGTGTGTGTGTGTCCCAGAGCGTCCCTCGTCCCTCACGC